CCCTGCTCGGAGTCGGAACCCTGTCCAGGGTCCTCCACATCATCCAAAGCCGACTCATAGGGCCCCTCGCTGTCGGAGTCGGGTGGCAGCTTCAACAGCTCCTGCTGGGCCACAACAGTTGGAGTCCTGTGATACCTTTAGCATCTGGACCAAGATTTTTTTTTTTGTAGGCCATTATATTCTCAATAAAAAGGCAATTGAATTACAGTAGTCTTATAAAAGTTGAAGGGTCATTCAACCTTCATACCTTCTGTTAGAAGTTCTGGTTTTTCAAAATAAATAACAACTCAGTTAATGTTAACTGTTATCCAAAGAAGTTGTATGTGTCCTTTTGGAGCATGTATACATGCAGTAGAGATTTTAATTTGTATAAAATTTTAATCATATTTTAATCAGAATTATAAAAGTCACGTTGATTTTTTAACAATGTTAGTCTGGAGCCATTGCTTCTTTTCACTGAGGTAGACTGCTTTCTAGGCAGAATTCTGTTCATTGTGCTCAAATTAAGTGGAAGGGATAAAAAACAGTTTTGATCATTCTCCTTTTCCTGCATTTTCCAGATCTGAAATATTGTATTTGAGGCAGATTATCAGAAACAATTGAAAAATACAGGAGATTAACTAGAATTTACTTCTCTCCATTCTTTGAAAATGCTGTTGAATTAAAAGCCTTCTTGTCACAAGAAGAGATTGTCAATTCAATCTTTCATATGGAAAGTTTTAAAATATCTATGTTTTAAAGTAAACCTTGCACTAATCGTTTAATACTATTAGGTAAAAGTAAAATGTAACAACAAAATTGAAATAAGAGTACTACAAATTGAGTGACCTGATCTCTTATAGCTAAACTGGATGATAATATTTTTAATTTTAAAAAGTTTTTTTAAAAAATACTTGACTTATAGTAGAGTTTGAAATAAAGACTATTGTACACAGTGCACATAATACTGTCTTAGACTGAGGCCCTCATGCATCCTTTTAACTGTAATTCTGCATTAATATTTCTTGAAACTGTTATAAACATGCCACATTGGAATAAAATTTCCCCCTTTTCTTCAGCGGACTTGCATATGATGCACAAGCAAAATGAAGATGCATACCATAATCCAGAGGCACGAGCATATGAAGATAAAAGAGCTTTAGTATCTGTTGACCTAAGTTTGGCCTCACCAAGACTTGAAAATACAGATGAATCTACAAATAAAACAGCAGGTTTAAATGCTAATATATTTTCAGTTGCAACTGTGTTGTGTCATTGGTCAAAATTATTGTTCATTCTTCCTATGCTGTACTTTCCACTGAAGGCAATCCTTTATATTTTTTCAATCCTCTTAAAGCATATAAAGTTAAGTAGTACTAGACCTGTATTATTAAACTTACAAAAGTTGTTACATCCCTGTTGACTTATGATCTGGATCAAAATGGACTTTGTGCACATGCAACGGTTTTTCCACTCATTTACAGGCTGGATTCACATTTTGGGAATGTAGTGAGGTTTCTTTTATTTTTTTTAGTGTGGTACATTAATGGAATCAGTGAATAATCATTGTTTTAAGGCAATAAAGACTTTAAATAATGATTTTTTTTTAAAAAAGTCATTGCAAATGGGGATAATTAGACTTAGAATAACTTTTTTGTCACTTTGAATGTACGCTAATTAGCATACATTAAAATGAAATTACATTGCATACATCTCTCAATTGGATTGTTCATGGTTTATGATTTCTGGTTTGCATTTTAAACTCAATTCAAATTTGTTTATCTTTTTCCTTTTATATGGGCATTCGTTTTGTATGAGTGACTCTGAGCGACTATCACAATTAAAATGTCAATATAACAATAAAAAATGAAATTGAAAAATGACAATCATCAAGAAGCTTTTGAGCAGTTATAGAGGCAAGACAAATACCTAAAATAGGGAAAAAAATCAAAGCAGAATTTTTTTCAACTGGAAGATTGAGTAACATGTTCATTAATTACAATAAAAATATCTCGCTGGGTGGAATATTATAATTTCCATCATATTGTCTTATTTGAAAACAAATCCTAAAAATACTCAACCTGCCTAGAGTCATATACTGGACTCTTCTTCAGGATTGCATTTGGACATGCCTCTTTCATGATTTTTAAACATTTTTTATGCCAGCAGTCCCAAACTTTGCTGCTTGGTGCCCAGCTGGGTGGAGAGGAGAGCTGGGTTCATGAGCAGCAGACTGATGTGCACATGTATACCTCCGCAGCTCAACTGCAAGTTGAGTTGTGTGCACAGGCACATCTACATTGGCCCACTGTTCATACGAGTTGAGTTGCGCTCATGCATGTGTGCTGGCCCATGGCTGGTTGCAAATAGACCATGGGCCAGTAGTGGGCTGCGGCCCAGGGGTTGGGGAACCCTGTTTTACATAACTACCATTTTAACAAACTGGACTCAACTCAGTTTCAGGGCCTTTGTATGATTTGGGATGAAGAAATGGAAATTATTGCTTTTTAAAGTATGTTTTGAAGAGAAAAAGTGGACATTATGAAAACTGACTGGGCCTTAAATGGAACAAGCAGAGGCCAAAAACGGGGTGCATGGAGGTGGCGATGGGCGGTGGTGATCCCCATAGCCTGGAACAGCTGATCAATGGTATTCCGGGAGGCCGATCCAACTGCCAATCAGCTGCTCGTGCTAAATCAGGCTGTGCTGAAGCTGACCAGGCTGTTTGCTGCAAGGAGGCAAATTGCTGGGAGACAAGATTTTTTTTTCTTGTTGCTAGTTGTGTCTTATAATCCGGAGCATTTTATAGTCTGAAAAATGCGGTAGTCCTGAAAATCCACCTCCATCATATTAAATCATTTAAAGATGTTCTAATTCTTGGTATATAATTGCTAAAGCTCAGGGTATCTTGGGCACAATTCAGACCATCACAGTAAAGCCTTTGAATGTAGAAAATGTTGATTGATTAAAGGCTTTGGGGTTTTTTGCTATTTCTTTTCCCTTATCAGTGTGTCCATGCAAATTAAAGATATGGTTGAAGGGGTGTACATATTCATGTTTCTATCTAGCAGTCATTTTGTCTTGCCTTTCCCTTTTGTAAGGTTCTTATTTTGAAGAGTATATATTATTATATTATATTATATTATATTATATTATATTATATTATATTATATTATTATATTATGGTCTTGTTGTATTCGGGTCTTTTCCCATGTAAGATTGAAAAAACCTGAATACAACAAGACCAGCATACCTACACCCGTGAAAATCTACGAAAACAAATATTATATTATGTCTGCACTTCCGGTTCCCTTTATCGTCTGTTTTGCAATCTTTATTAGTATTGGTAGTGGAAAATTTAGTTCTTTCAAATTCATAACTTTTGTTTTTGCTTCCAGTGGAGGTAGGTACCTATTATAGAAAAAGTCAAATTGATTCTTTAAAAGCTTTAAAAAATACTTTTGAATTGTTAATTTCAAATATATCTTAAATTGGGTAATATCAGTACATTCAATTACAGCATAATTATAGATTATTTGGCGTAAGATACCTAAGGTCAGCTTAAAAGTATTTGTGGTATTACCAATGTTTACAACTTTCCTCCTTTTTTTAAAAATTAGGCTTTACATATACACAAACATCCCCTTTTGCACGGGGTAATGTTTTTGGAGAGCCCCCAAGTCCAGAACATCTAAGGAGACAAGAGTCATATAAGAACTTCCTTCGTTTTCAGGTGAGTATATTTGTAACAATATTAAACAAAGAAAAATATATGTCTGATTTAGTTTATTTCCATTTTCTAAATACTGCTGCAGATCTGGGCTGTTTACAGGTTAAATAGTAGTATTTTTATTTAGTAGTAGCAGATTTCAAATACTGAACACAATCCCCAAAAGGCCACACACTAAATGCATGAGGTTAAAATAAGGAAATTTAGGTTTATTAAAAAGTTGCAAATGTATCATCCCATCATAATTTCTAAATAATACTTTTTGAAAAATCTTAGGATACATTTGTTTAGACATCATAGAATGTCCAGTGCCAATGGATATGAAAACTGATTAGTGGAGAAGTGGACAGAATACAATGAAGTATCCTCAGAAAGAGTCAAAATCCTGAGTAACAACACTTCAGTTTACAACATTCAGTTGTAAATTTCTCCTTGGGAGGAATTTTAATCTTCATTATTTGCAACCATTATATTCTGTTTTCCCGAAAATAAGACCTCTCTGGATATATAAGCTCAACGAGGCTTTTGAGAGCATGTGCTAAAATAAGCCCATCCCCAAAAATAAGCCCTCCCCCAAAAATAAGCCCTCCCCTGAAAATATTGCAACACACCAGCAGCCATGAGGTGACCACACTCGCTGCCTCCTGCACCTCAAAAATAATAAGACCTCCCCGAAAATAAGGCCAAGTGTTTATTTCAGGGGTCCAAAGAAAATAAGGCCCTGTCTTATTTTTGGGGAAACACAGTATGAGGCACTAATCTTAATGAGTGAATTGTATATTATCAAAAACTCTGTACCTCTTAGAGGAGTTATGAGAGGATATAGATCATCACCCTGGGGCTAGTTCCTTTCTATGAGAACATCTCCTTTATCCTTGAGGTGATATTCTCTGCCACAATCCTCATTCTCCATTACAGCATAGGAAACTGCATCCTGGGAATGGAATCAAGCTGTTACATTCTACAAATTAGAGTTAGTACTTGATTTATGACCACAATTGAGCCCAACATTTATATTGCAAATGAGAAATTTGTTAAGTGAATTTCCCCATTTTAAAACTTTTATTGCCACAGTTGCTAAGTGAATCACAACAGTTGTTAAACTAGTAACATATGATTGTTAAATGAATCCAGCTTCCACATTGCTTTTGCTGGTCAGAAGGTCACAAAGGTTGATCACATGACCCCAGGACACTGCAACCATCATAAAAATGAACCAGTTGTCAAGCATCTAATTGTAAATTACATGACCTTGGTGATGCTGCAATGGTGTGAAAAATGGTCACGAGTCACTTTTTTTAGTGCTGTTGTAAGTTTGAACAATCACTAAACAAACTGTTATAAGTCAAGGGCTACTTGTATTATCAGTGTAGCTTACTGGTTGTCTGAGCACACATAGTTTAGAATTTGGGTCTCAATAAAATGGGCTGTTCTCTGATAGCTTATTACATTGTGCATAAATGCATAACTTGTACACAATAAGCAGCTAGTCACGTATTTATCATACTTTCAACATATTGGGACCATTCCTTTCCAAATTGACTTTCATCTTCATACTAGCTACTATTGCTATATTTGTATTCTTTAGGAATTGTTGTATTTTCATCATTTAGGCCTCTTTCTTTTCACTTAACCTAAACTAACCTTGGGGACATAGTGGCTCAGTGGCTAAGATGCTGAGCTTTTCAATCAGAAACTTAGGCAGTTCGGCGGTTCAAATCCCTAGTGCCGCGTAACAGAGTGAGCTCCCATTACTTGTCCCACCTTCTGTCAACCTAGCAGTTTGAAAGCATGTAAAAATGCAAGTAGAAAAGTAGGAACCACCTTTGGTGGGAAAGTAACAATGTTCTGTGTGCCTTTTGTGTTTAGTCATGACCACAGAGATGTCTTCGGACAGCGCTGACTCTTCAGCTTTGAAACAAAGATGAGCACCCTCCCCTAAAGTCGGGAATGACTAGCACATATGTGTGAGGGGAACCTTTACCTTTAAACTAACCTTGATGTGATCAGTGTTTTTTTTCCTTGCCTTTTTCCTCCATTAATCTTCCTCACAAAATTCCACAATTCTATCTACATTCCTGATCATGAGATTCCAATTGCTTCTCTTTTTCTTTATGAGGATATTCAAGGTTAATCAACTATAACTACTAACCTTCATAAAAAATACTAAGAGATGCAATGGTTTTCATAGTAGATGCATGTATTGACACAATCCAGTGATTAAGATTGCTGTGGAGAGAAAAAACTTTCATTGATAAGCAGTTCATCATAATGATCTAGCCAGTCTAATCAATTTTATGAAAACAGCAAACAAATGATATTTTGTTTCCAGATAGAGGAAAAAAGAAGAAGAGAAGATGAAGAACGTGAAAAACGAAGGCTTGAAGAAGAAAGGGAAGAAAGAAAGTTAGTTGAGCAGAGAGCTAGAATACAGAGAGAGTATGAAGAGGAACTGGAAAAGAGGAGAAGGAAAGAAGATGAGGTATGATTATAAATTAATTTGATTGATTTTTGCAATGAAGAGAATAGTTGCTTCCTTTTATTATCCCAAAAATGAGACAATAAATTACTACTTCTGTAATAGATTCCTTACATCAGTTGTTTTTTTAAATCAAACTCCATATTTTTTGTCATAGGAAGTTGTCAAAAGACATCTTCCTTGATTGTACACTTCTGTCTGATTAATGAGCAGGTAAAATGTACTTATTTTTCACTAGTATTCCAACTTCACTTTAATTAATACATGAGTAAAGAAAATGTGTATTTCTATTCCTTAATTGGAGAACTCCTGTTAAGTGGAGAACAGCAAGTAATTTAATTAATATATGTAATGCAATTTATATAAAATGAAAAGATTTTAAATATATCAGTTTGATTTACAAATCTCTCACATAAATATTTAAGTGGGCACTTGGTAATATTACATATGAATAGGCTTTCTCATTCTTTGCAGTGCAAGAAAAGACTTCAGAGATGCAGTTTGATCAATTGTTATGCCATCAACATTAAATTTGTTTTTTGTCATTCCATTTTTATCTTTATAGCAAAGATTAAAAAATGAAGAATTATATAAATTAGCTGAAGAAAGAAGGAAAGAAGCTGAAAGGAGAAAGATAGAGGAAGAAGAAAAGAATAAACAGGATGTTGAAATTAAAAACTATTTTATTGATGAGAAGGTAATTTAAAAACAAAATCTTAAAGTCTGTCCTTATTACCTTAGATCCAAGTGGGATCATCTCCATAGAATTCCAAACTGCAGTTCTAAGCACATCTCAAAATGCTTCACTCTCAAAACTGCATGGTTTCTAGGACATCAATAAGAATAGCTCCTAGTTTGATGTTTGAATCCAATGCACCAATAATTATTGTAAAAGAAATTGCAAAACAACTTACTGTACATATTATTAAAAAAAAATCTCTTAATGGCATAGAACATTGGAATGTTTAAATTTGGGGCCCCCAAAGGTGCTTTTTCAAAAGGCAGCTGGACTTTCCTTATTTTTCCTTTGAAGACATTTCACTTTTCATCCAAAAAGCTTCTTCAGTTCACTGTGTGCTGTTTTGCCTGCAATATGATCATGTGACTGCAGGAGAGGATGCAAACTATGATTTATGGTGGCCAGAACAGTAATGGTTTTCTCTTTGCTACCGGTTTGGAACTGGATGCACACATGGGGCACTTCTGCGCATGCACAGAACCTGCTGCACATGCACAGAACATCTGTGATGATGTCTGGATGGGTGGGCGGAGCCTCCCACCACTGGTTTGTGCGAACTGGGGCGAACCAGCAGAATAGCACCTCTGGGCTGGAAGTGCTTTATAGCCCATAAAGCAGCCTTTCCGAGGTTGTCATAACTTTGAAAGATTGTTAAATGACCACTTGTAAGTTAAGAATTACTGCAGACATTCTCTAGATTAAGGTCTGAATATGTAAATTCAACTTTGTGCATCTAAAATATTTAGCAGCATAATTCGTAAGAGTTCAGAGTAGTATAGAACATTGGTAAATATATTAAACAGACTTAGCTTTCATTGGGTTGTGCTGTTGAGGCTTAGCTGATCACAGCATAACTGATGGAATTTCATTCTATAATGGGCCAAGTCCTATTTGGTGGTTGTCACATCAGAACATTTGTTTTTCTTTCAATATTGTATTAATTGAACATCAGGTTTACACATACACTTCACAAATGCACTTTGTATGGATAAAGAATAGGGTAGGGAGAACTTTTAAGTCTCTCTGTTAGTGAGAACTTGTGCCCAGTGGTCTGGGCAATGGATTATTGGATCCACACAGCCATTGTTTATGTATTGATAAAAATTTGCAAGATAGTTGCAAAACAGAAAAGAAATGTCCATTTACCATTCTGCTTTTTCTTTTTCCTTTTGTCCACATGCTCAGAGCTAAGGATAGTGTCCATTTGTCTTATTAGTATTATAGACTATATTCAATTAATTTTTTTTATTTAACCTGTGCTAAATTTCAGTTATTATTTTCATTCCATGGTGTATGAGAGATTTATTTTGAGAAAGTGTATATACATATATATAATAGAATGATAGCACAAACTTAATTTACCTACCTGAATTATAATAGCCAACTAGTATAAAAGGAAATATTACAAAATGAATGTCAAAGTACAAAAAACCCTATAGAAATCTTACGTTATTCACAATGATTTCTTTCAATATTCTTTAGTTTCTGTCCATCAGACATTAAAGAAAAGGAAACAGGGAAATTAAAGATGAGTAAGATACAGGGACTGAACAGTCTTTAATGGATGTGATTTATTTCTAAATAACCTTTTAATATTTTCCTGGGATGTCCTCAGAATCTAGTCTTCTCCAGTCCCAGTTAGAAGAAAGGCATACGTTAGTTCTGTGTCTGGGATAAAAGCCCCTTTCTGAAAGAGTGGCCTCAAGAGAAGAATATAAGATTTTGCAGTGTTAGGTTTCTGATATCCTAATTGTATGTTGTTCTGTTCATGTTCAATTAACATGACCAGAATTATACCCCGACAGTCTGAAAAATTTGGGGGCAGAGAGCATCAAGAAATACGGCGCTGCCATCTCTACATAAATGTATTTACCTTCATTGAGTTTTATGGTAGAGCAGGGTTTCTGCCACGTTTTTCCTTTTTGTGTATTCTAATTTTTAATAGAATGTTTAATTTTTTTAATACAAAACTAATCCGAAACTTGAACTTCCATTAGTATTAGCAAGATAGAATGCAAACATTAGTCAGTACTGTTTTTTGCTTCCAAAAATGTAGATTCTATATATTATTTAACAGTGAGTTTTCACAAATATGTTCCTTAAAAAACCCTTGTTATCATTTTAAAAATAAATATAGTCAAATCAGAACATTCATTAATATTACATCAAAAGAAAATTATAATGATTTTTTTAATTGATAGTTTAACTATTGTACTTGTTGAGGTCAGTTTTAGAAATGTACATTTTCATCTGCCCGTTTTCTTGTTTATCAGATTTCTAGACAACCTTCTCCTCTTATACCAACTCTTCAGAGTAAACCATTAGTACAAGAAGGAAGAAAAGTTCTGATGGAGAGTCGTTTGTCTTATTACACACAGGTATGTTTGCTTATTAGACAGGTGTAATTCAGGAATTATTTTTAGTGTTATATTTCCTAATTGTGTTCTTGAAAAATTGTAAGTTACTTGAGGAAAGGGCACATCAACATATTAATTTATATATTTATTCTCCTTAGTAATGTTTAATAATTTTATTGACTTTATCTTAGCTACAGTTTAGAGCACTATTTTCCAAACCTGGCAACTTTAAGTCTAATTTTGCTTTCTTCAGTTTGTAGCATATGTTCCATTACTTAGAGGTTCTAAGAATGTGTAATTCTACAGTGTGGTTAATAATAATTTTAAAAATTAAATGGCTGATAGGAATGGGAAGTTAATATAGATAGACGTATTTCTTTTTTTTTAAAAAGGAACATCCTTCCCATGCAGCATTTAAAATTAAGGAAATATCTATCATTAAAACCAATGGATTATTCATTTCTTAATACTAAATGTTATGGAAAGGACTGGGTTATGGTTATTGATAATGTAATTGAGAAAGGAAGGATTATATCTCTTTTTCCTGGTTATAGTTTCCCCCTTCAATATTTAATATTTAATTTAAAAATTACTTGAATATGAATTATATTGTTAGTATCATATGTAATCAGGCCTTAGAATGCATGACAGCAAAGCCAGTAAAAGTGAGCTATTTCCCCTCTTATGGATGAAAATTTTTCCCCAAGATAAATGTAAATTTAATTTTTTTTCCTAGGATGTCCCCAGAGCTCAATCCCCGCCAGTGCCAGCTAGAAGAAATCAGTTACGTGCATATGGTAAGAAATCTATAACTCTTCTTACTTTGGTTGTGTTAATGACCAGAATAAATATTTCTAAAGGAGAATGAATACTAGGCATTCTGTACCTAATTATTGTTATACTGAATTTGCAGAAGAAAAAAAGAATGTAATAAATGAACTTTCGGAGATGAGAAAGCAGCTCCGCAGTGAAGAGCGACGACTACAGGAACAGTTGTTTAGAGTACACAGTGATGATGATGAAATGCCAGGGAAAGGGTAAAGAGTTTGGTTTGTTACAAATCGTTTGATAAAATACACATTTCTTCTTGGGAAAGTAATGAATACTTTAATTCAGCAGGTCCTAACCTTTCCAGCTTGGGGTGGGGAGAGGAGATGGTTGTGTGTGAGTGAAGGGTGGGCGCATGTGCAACTCCATTTATACGAGCACACTTGCCTGCTGCTCATAGCAATAGCAATAGCAGTAGACTTATATACCGCTTCATAGGGCTTTCAGCCCTCTCTAAGCGGTTTAC